GCTAGAAGATAAATCTCTCAACACTACTAAGATAGAAGAGCAAGCACAAAAAAGGATAAAAAATCTGAAGAAGGCCTAAATTTCATGTTGGATAACGTGAAGATGAATAACTTAAGAATTACCAGCATTCTGGAACAGGAAGAATAACACAAGTTCACAGAGGAGATAGTTGAAGAGATGCTGGAAGAAAAATTTCCTAACATCCTGAAAAGTGAAAAGGTAAGAATTCAAGAAGCTCAACGAATCCCAGAAAGGATAGTCCCTAAAAGAAAACCACCAAGACATTATATAATCAAGCTCTCCAAAATCAAAGGACAGAATCCTGAAGGCAGCTAGGGATAAGAGAAGTGTAACACACAAAGATAAGCAAATAAGATTATGCTCGGATTTCCAACAGAAAGCATGCAAACAAGAAGGCAATGGGGAGACATATATAAAACCCTGAAAGAAAAAAAACTTCTGACCAAGAATCCTCTACCCAAGCAAAGCTGTCAATCAAATATGATGGTGTAATCAAAACATTCCAGGATAAACAGAAGCTAAGGGATTTTGCCAAAGCCAACCTGCTATAAAAAACATCCTAAACGGAGTTCTGTGGACAGAGAACCAACAAGACCAAATAACTATCAGAGAATGATGTATGTGGCAGCATCACCCTGAACTCAATCGACAAATGAAAGCATCAAGAACAGTATAAAATCATAAGCAAGAACAGTATAAAATTATAAGAACATAGGATCTGGGAGGTGAGTCTATGAGTAATACAATTACAAGGTGAGAGAAGGTAAACACAGAGGAACAGAGATCCAGGGGCTGAGAAGGTGAGGTAGATAGCAGAATAAAATGGACTGTCTTAAATGGAGGGAAGAATTTAAGGTAACCAACCACAACAGTGGGTTGGGATGGGGGGTTTAGTTAGGGTGTTGGAAAGGACAGTTTCCCAACAAGAAGGGGAAGGAGGTAGAAGAACAAGATAGATAGGGGAACACTGAGACAAGTTTACATGGCCTACGTGAGACAGAGGTAAATAGTGATACATGCTCAACCTTGGAACAACACGGCTCTGTGATAAAGCGATCTAGGCACAGTTTTTGAAGACAGTAAATAATACTAAAACGCTTGACTGTCTTTATGAATATTGGTTTCCCTTGACTACTATTGTAAAATAGACACTTGAGTGGGAACAGAATGTTGGAAAACATGATTAGAGAAAACTTGTAAGCCCGTCTTCAGCCTATAATTGACTGATTGGAATACCTAAAGGGGGGTTCTAGAACTTGCCCTGTGAAATAGGCCTCTTGCAAAGCCTTGGCAGAGTATAGGACCTTAGGTGGAATCCTAAGTCCCATGCAGAACCTTATGAGGTGGGATATTCCCACTAGAAAGGACAAGCAGACCAGCCTGGAACAGCTAGAGCAACAGAAGATACATCTTCAAAGAAAGATCATTAGGAAAAACCCAAAACAAAAATGTCAGCATGACAGGCTGCTACAAGAATAAGCAAGCTGCTCTCCGGGAAGCCATCAAGGCAAGCAATCAAGTTCATTCAGGACAAACGCCCCTCTAAGACTGAAACTCAAAGGGAACACACAAACAAGCATGTAAGCTTGCTGGCGACCACATTGGTCTACTGGTGAGTGGAAGAGGGGGAAAGGCAGCAATGAAGATAAATGGGCTGAGTTCAACCACAGTCCATTGACCCCCGTTGGCCTGGAGATGAGAGAGAGAAGAGGATGGACTGGTTGGTCCAAAATGTGGTGAGACCTGGGGACACTTGAGACCACGGACAAGGACATAACCACAGAGGGCTATAGATGAGAGTGAAGCATCCAGCTGATGTGAAGTGAGGGGAGATGCACAAGAACAACCAAACTTGCATATAGTACCCATTTGACCTAGCCTCGATGGCTTGATAATCAGAACTCGACTAGAGGAAGATTAAAAAAACAATTTTTGATAAAGGAAACAAGGATAAATTGCTGCAATTTGATGAACCTGACCTATACTCATGGAGGTAGTAACTCTAAATAACAACAGAGAAGGAAGGAGTCTTCACATCAAGTATCAATGCTATTCCCTCTGTACACAGGGTAGATAAGGATGGGCAACTTAGACACTGGCTACCTAAAATGGGGGGGCTATAAAGGCACAAAGTGACTGGCTTACAAGTTTTCAAGAGGGAATTTAGTTTAAGCGTGTGCGAGGGAAGATAGAGATCCTATTGAATAGTTTTCATCTTGTCTAGACGCATCTAGTGAAAAGGATAAGATTCTTATGATTCAATAGCGAGTAACTGTTATCAAGACTAATTGCAACTGTCACAACTGTAAAGGTGTAAGTTTTATAACAAAAATGGGGGAGTGGTTAATCTTACAGTCCAAAAACAGAGGACCCTAGGACCATCAAGGGAGAAGAGCACAAGCGGAATACAAGACCCTATCCAGAGAAGCAGTGATACCCGAGATGGAGGCGGAGGTGATGGCATGGAGAGATAGATCAGCTGAGGATTCTAGACTTATGGAAAGAGAAAGGCTGTGTGCTGGCAGCCAGGAGGCTTGCTTGCAAAATGTGCCCTTTGGTTGTTTAAATTATTACATATTTCTGCGTGTTTTTGTGGATCATGTCTGTAGAGTGGATAGAGTACGGTTCCCCAACAAAATTCTCATAGGACAACCCTCGCTGTCCTCAAAGAACGTACATGCACATTGTTGTCATGATGGGAAAGATATTCCTGGGCACAACTTTCCTGGCCTTTTTCTCATCAATGCAGTTCAATTTTTCTTAAAAGTTCTTCCTAATAAGACCCTGTGATTATCTTGTGTCCTTCAAGAAGATCTAACAAGATTACCTCTTCGGAATCCCAAAACACAGTCACCAAAACCTTCTACGGTGACCTCTCTGCCTTGAAATGAACCAGCAGATCCCCTTGAAAGCCACTGCTTTGTTTGGGCCTTTGTGGGTTTTTTTTTTAAGGCACTCTGTATGATAAGCACTGGACTGCTAACTAAAAGGTGAGTGGTTGAAACTCACCAGTTGCTCCTTGGAAACCCTATAAAGGGTCGCTATAAGTCAGAACCAACTTGACAGCAATTAACAACAACTAAGGATTCCTGGTGTAGCGTTGCAGAATTAGCACTGGACTGCTAACTGCAAGATTGGTGGTTCAAACCTACAAGGAACTCATCAGAAACCCTATACAAGAAAGGATTCAGTATGAGTTGAAACCAACTTGGTGGCACTTAAAAACAAGACTAAGACAAACATATTACTGAGAGAACTTATCTACGGCCATCCACTGATCACAGAGATATATTTAAACACATTTTGTTTTGAGTAAGTCTGTGCACGAATGAAATGGAGCTTTAGTAGCAATACATTTTGACTTACCCTTGTGTGTGTGTGTGTGTGTGTGTGTGTGTGTGTGACGCGCGTGCACGCACGCACACTTATTCCTTAGTGACAGAAATATATTTATATATAACAGTGTTTTCTGAAAGAGCTCAACTGCAGACTAGAGTCTGATAAAACAGGAATGCTTTATCTGAAAAAGGGAGAGTTTATAGATTTCTCCCAATGCATACTGAGCAACTCAGTCAGGAGGATGTGCTATTATTGCACAGAATGTCACATATACCCAGGCACTCCAAAGTGAAAAAAGAAAAAAAAAGAAGCCAAAGGTTGGAAAAATAAATGAATAAATAAACCTAAGGTAGCTTCAACTTTAAATTCCACAAGGTTGAATTTTACATTTAGGAAAAACCACTGACACATACAATGAAAACTAGACGGCATAAGTTAAGTACAACCATCACCTAGTGACAGAGAACTAGAGGTCTGGCTGACATAGTCACTAACAGAAAATTGAGACTGTATGATTTTCATGAATTATTTAAGAGAATTTGCAAACTTATAGATGACACATCAGAAAGAATTATTTCCTAGGGTCTAGTGTGGAAAAAAAAGAAGTATGCATATGATCCTCATTATATTTTTTCCACTTTTCTGAAAGTTAAAAAAAAAATTCAAAGATAAAAAGTATTTTTAAAAGTATCCCTTATATACTCAGGTAGTTACTCTAAATACCAACAGAGAGGGAAGGGGTCTTCACATCAAGTATCAATGCTATAACCTCTGTACACAGGGTAGATAGGGATGGGCAACTTAGACATTGGCTATCTTAAATGAGAGGGCAATAAAGGCACAAAGTGACTGCTTACAAGATTTCAAGAGGGAGTTTAGTTTAAGAGTATGGGGGGAAAGAAAGAGTCCCCACTGAATAGATTTCATGTTGTCTAGATGGGTCTGGAGAAAAGAGATGGGGATAAGATTTGTATGATTTAATAGTTAGTAAGTATTATCATACTACCAGCGGGTCCGCGGGAGAAAGATGAGGCGGTCTGCTCCCGTAAAGATTTACAGCCTTAGAAACCCTGTGTAGGGTCCCTGTGAGTTGGAACAGACTTCACGGTACTTAACAACAAGTATTATCATGACTAACTGTGACTGTCACAATTATAAAGTAGAAGTTAATACAAACAGGGGAGTGGTTAATCTTACAGTCCAGAAACAGAGGACCCTAGGACCATCAAGGTAGAAGCACACAAGCAGAATGCAGGACGGCTGAGGATTCTAGATTTATGGGAAGAGAGGGACTAAGAGCTGGTGGCCAGGAGGCAGACTTGCAGAATGTGCCCTTTGGAGATGTAAATTATTATATATGCCTGAGTGGTTTCTTTTGTTTTTTGTTTTTTAAAAAAAGCTAAAGTGGATAGAGAGAAATACTGTTATCTGATGGTACATGGAGGGAATGATAATCATTGTAATGAAACAATGTGTATGATTTGAAGAACATAAAACTGATGAATTGCCCTGTAAACTTTCACTCAATCCACAACAAAAACCTTTCAAAAAAGTATCCCTTATAACAATGTTAAGGCATGTAAAGCAATACAGACTCATTAGTGGAGACTGATAAAGAAAAGGTCTTTAAAAATACATACTTCTATGTTGAGATTGATGGAAAGAGTATGCTTTGCTTCTTTCTGGAGAGTAGCTTCTACTGCTGACACTGGAGCCAGATCTGCTGTGTGGAGAATCCTTTCGGCCTACAGGAGATTCTCTGAAAAAAGGAGCGTCCCTTTTATGAGGAGACCGGTCTCTTGCATAATGAGAAGAGTAGAAACTTTTTCTTCTAAAGCCATCTCTCACATCCCTTTAACGGAAAACAAACACACAAAATGTTAATTATAGCCTCTATATAATGATGCCTGCTGCTCAGTGGTTAAGCACTTGGCTACTAACTGAAAGGGAAATGATTCAAACCTACCAGCTGCCTGACCCCACAAGCAGTTCTGCAGGAGAAAAGACCCAGGGTAATCTGCTCCCATAAAGACTACACTGTAAGACATCCTATGGGCGGTTCTACTTTATCTTATGGAGTTCCTATGATTCAGTTAGACTAGATGGCACACAAAAACAACAACAACAAATGTAAGGCTTGGAGTCTTTCGGTGGCACAAACAGTTAGGTGCGCAAATATCAGCCAAAATATTAGCAGTTCAAATCCACCCAAAGGCACCAAGAGGATTGGAGATCTGCTTCTAAAAGGTCACAGCCTTGAAAAGCCTATGGAGCAGTTCAACTCTAACACACAGGAAGTATCTATCATGAGTCAGACTTGACTTGTCAGCAACCAACAACAGTAAAGCTGTATAAAGAAAAACTGTCTTTAAGACATCAAAACAAATTGGCTAACTGTTGTTTAGTTCCTCTTTGTCATTAGTGAGTTTCTTTCTGGTTGGTCTGTCCTTTTTTGACAGTGGTGTATTAAAATCTCCTGCCTACTATTACTGGAATTCTTGTGTGGCGCTGTGAGTTAATGCGCTGGACTGCAAAATCAGTTTGAATCGCAAGGTTAGCGGTTCAAGCTCACCAGGCGCTCCTTGGAAACCCTATACGGGGTCGCTATGGGTCAAAACAGACTGACAGCACTTAACTACAACTACTAAGCATGCTAGAGAAACATGCTAAAAGACAAACTAATGGCCTAGATTTTCAAATGCTTATAAAGTAATTTCAGCATACTGAATGAATTAAATGAAATCCAAAGGTTTGTTTGAACATCAGTTGATTGTTGTTGTTGTTGAACGCCAGTCGAGTCGATTCTGACCCATAGCGACCCTGTATACGGTTTCCAAGGCGCAGCTGGTGAGCTTGAACCACCAACCTTGCAGTTCAAACTGATTTTGCAGTCTGACGCATTAGACCGCAGTGCCATGCCAGCTTAGTGTCCACACATATTACCTGTAGGTGTAGGTAAGTTTCACTGGGCAAAAGCAAGAAGGAGCTAAAATTCACTTATATGACATATAAACTTTGACAGAATAAGTGAAATAACACATTAAAGAAATTCTAATACATTTCAGTCAATAAAACTGCATGTGTCATACTGCAAGCATACTAATTCATTTTAGTGGCTACAGATATATAACAACATACATAAAACAAGTTTATACATGTTACAAAAACAAATTTCTGTATCAGGTGCTGGGGATCCAATGGTACACCAAATACACACAGGCCCTACTTCTTAGGAGTCTCAGACTAGTAGAAGAGGCTGACCTCAAACAAATAAACATAAAACATGCACACGAGAGAAGGCAAGGAAACTATTTAAGCAACCTTCTTAATCCAGGCAAGAAGCAGTGGTTGTTTAGATGGGTTGCAGGCATAGGAATCAATATACAAATGTCCTTTGAAAGTATATTTAATGGGACAAACAAGTATGAGACACATGGGTGCCAAGATCATTTCCAGAATTCATTGATGAGTTACTAGAAAAGTCAATTTCAGAAGCAAGTACAGAGGTGGGTTGTTATTGCTGCTGTTAAGTATCACAGAGTCAGTTACAAATCATAGCGACCCTGTATAAGGCTTCTGAGAGCGACTCGTGGGTCTGAAATGATGACCTTGTGGTTTGCTGCACAGTGCTTATCCTACAGGGCCACAGCAGGTAAGAGATTCACATTTTAGAATGGAGTACATTACATGTGAGCTATCATGTAACATCTAGGTAGGAAACTAAAGACACTGCTCTCAGAAGAGAAATTTTGGTTAAAAACATAAATTTATCTATAAATACTTACAAAGATTTCTGGTCTGGTACTGTAGGATCAGAACTGGACCACAAACCACAAGGTCAATAGTTCAAGCACACCAGACACTACCTGGAAACCCTACACAGGATCACTGTGAGTTGGAAACCAACTCAACGACATTTAACAACAACACAAATATTTGAAGCCATGATTATGGAAAGAAACAGAACAAAAAGAGCAGAGGTCACAGGCCCATCCGAGCTAGTGCTAAAACCTACAAAATTAAGAAAGAAATAAGTTGTTGAAGAAGGAACAACCAACACATTATGAAAACAATACAGTGAATTATTGGAAAAATCAAGGAAAGAGTGCGCCAAATAAAATAAGCATTTATCAATAAATGGCTTAGAAGACAGAGAAGAGCAGCTCCACATTTAGAGGAAAGGTAGCCCAGAAGAAAATGAAATGTTGAACTACACTTTCTTAATCCTGTCACCAGATGGCGGTATAATCAAAGCACAGACCCTAAGAACGGATTGCAGTGGCTGGACACACCTGACAGACATGCGTGTCAGATTTTAATAGCTTGGAGTGGATTATTTTCTATTCCCCTTGATATCAACCTCTCCAACCACCCACCAATTTAAGCAAAAAACAACCTAATAGGCATCAATATATCTTAAGTATCCTCTTTGGTACTGTAGTATTAGACAAGTCACTTCTCCTATTAAGCTATATTGCTGGTCCACTATATGAAACGAGTCCTGGTATGGCACTGTGGGTTAATGTGCCAGACTGCAAAGCCGTTTGAACTATAAGGTCGGCGGTTCAAGCTCACCAGTTGCTCCTAGGAAACCCTATACAGGGTCACGATGGGTCAGAACCCATTCGACGGCACTTAACAACAGTATGTTGAGTTGGCATTGCTCTACAAAAGTTTAGATCTTATGTGTGTATAGGAGGAGGGTGAGAGGGGAAGAGGGATGGCAAGAATAGTATAAATGCTCAGGGAAACTTATCAAGACCCCCTGTGGATGCCTGACACCATGGATAGTACCAAATCCTATATATAATATGTTTTCTCCTATACTTAACATGCACCCTGGGTACCCCAGGAGACTGGTGGTGTTAACCTGTCAGTGCCAGCAAGGCATAGTCCAGTCTCTCATCCAACTGAGCTTTGACATAGCCAAATGGCCAACATCACTACTCTTGCACGTTGGAACCATTAGGAAGTAAAATTAGAGTCCTGGTGTGGCACTGTGGGTTAATGCACTGAACTGTAAAGTCAGTTTGAACCACAAGGTCGGCGGTTCAAGCTCACCAGCGCTCCTCAGAAACTCTAGACAGGGTTGCTTATGGGTTGGAAATTACTCGACGGTGCTTAACAACAACAAACAGCAAGGATTGTGATACCATGACAAGTGGGTCTGATTATCAAGAGATATACTAAGTGACTCACAGGTGGATAGCATTTATAGACAGTGTGGATACTCAGGAGAGACAGCTAATTCATGTCCCAGGAGACATGCAGCAAAATTTCACTGTGCTACTCAGAACCACGGGTAATTATTTTCAGATTGCCGGTGATCACTGTAACTGAAACTGGATAAGAAGGGATTGCTGTAGATAGAAAATTCATTTGCCTCCTTAAATCAAGTTGAGATTTAGATCAGAACTGTGAATAAAAATAAAATATATATATGGAGCTCTGGTAGTGTAATGGTTACGAATCGGGCTGTGAACCACAGGTCAGCAGTTCGAAACTACCAGCTGTTCGGCGAGAGAGAGATGAGACTTTCTGCTCCTGTAAAGATTTACAGCCTCGGAAACCCTGTATAGGGTCACTATGGGTCAGAACCGACTCCACGGCATATAACCACCACCACCACCATATATGCATATAAAATCAAACCATATATGTAGGAGTCTATTCTTAAAAATTAAAGAGAAAAAGTTACAATTAATTTTAAAGAATGTTTTACTTATAACAATATATCCCAACTATTTTCAACTTCTGGTGTGGCACTGCGGATCAGCACTGGACTGTGAACCACAAGGTCAGCAGTTCAAACCCACCAGCTGCTCCTTGGAAACCCTAGACAAGATTACTATGAGTTGGAACTGACTCAATGGCACTTTACATGCAACCAAAATAAAATAAATTTAGTGAGATCTTTTATATCCTTTTCTTCTTCCTAAAGCTTAACAATACATAGCGCAACTTCCAAAACATCCCACACTATCCTATAAATGAGATGGATATCTTGATGTTTGTCAAGGTCTAATTTTCCTTCCATCTCAACACAGGTATACCATACAGCTACTATGAATAACAGAGTATCTGGATTTACAAACAACTAAATGCTGGACTACTAGCCAAAAGGCTGGTGATTTGAACGCCCCCAGAGGTACCTTGGACAACAGGTAGAAGACCATTTCAAACATTTCAAATAAACTCACTTTGACTAACAGGAACAATCTGCTTCTGCGAGAAAGGTCATAGCCTTGGAAAACAGTGGAGTTGTTCTACTCTGCATACATGAGTCAGAATCAAGTCAATGGCAACTAATAACAACTACTACAAATGGTGGTAGGCACTGTTTAGGTACTATAAGGTGCTAGTTAATGCAGATGATGTCAATTTTATAAAGCAGTTAAGTTTTAACTTTCTGTAAAATTTTCTTTCCACTATATGATATTTCAAGTCCTGGTGTGGCGCTGTGGGTTAATGCACTGGACTGCAAGGTCGGTTTGAACCGCAAGGTCACCAGCCACTCCTTGGAAACCCTATAAAGGTTGCCGTAAATTGCAACTGACTCCATAGCACTTAACTACAACAATTGTATTGAAATCCTTATTACCTGAAAAAAGCATATGATATTTAAGGAGCTCTGGTAGTGTAGTGGTTACAAATCGGGCTGCCGACCTCAAAGTCAGCACTTCAAAACTACCAGCTGTTCTGCGAGAGAAAGAGGAGGCTTTTCTGCTTCAGTAAGATTTACAGGCTCAGAAACCCTATACAGAGTTGCTATGAATCAGAACCAACTACACAGCACATGACCACCAACCACCATATGAGGTTTACATTTTGGTAAAAATTTAAATGCAAAGG